TCCTCTGACGCAGGAGTTAATAAACGTGTTCTTAACTCATTCAGATATCTGGGAGGAAGCCAGAGGAACTCGCCCCACGCCTCATTAAAGGTGAGCACTTAAACACCTCTGGACTCACGGGGGTGTCCCTGTGACGCGTCAAAGACATGCATTGAGTATATGAGTAAAAGTACGAGTATAATCCTGAACCCAAGTAGAAAAGACTGTTATATATGTTACCATTAGAATATTTCTCTGTCTGTCAGGGTTGAGGTGGAGCTCATTCATCGCATGCATCCTTCAATGTTGACTTGTTTTGTATCATTATACACTGCAAGATACACATGGAAAGACTTGTATGCATGAATCTGCTTAGTGTTACTGCTTACTGAAGGTACATGGAGACCATAGAGACACAACATGACCACTAAGAGACACAACATGACCAACAAGAGACACAACATGACCAACAAGAGACACAACATGACCAACAAGAGACACAACATGACCAACAAGAGACACAACATGACCACTAAGAGACACAACATGACCACTAAGAGACACAACATGACCACTAAGAAACACACAACTACACACAGGTGCAAAATGACCCGGAAACAGATACAAAGATACACAACCAAGACAAGATTTAAAACAACAACAAAGACACGGAAAACTACCAAAAGGGGACAGAGTATGACTGAAAGGAGAAGCAGACTATGAAGAGATGCAACATGTCTCTAAAGATTTTATTTTTGAATCTGTAGCTCATGTTCTTCTGAGTTCATATCTTTGCCCTCGGGGGTTGTCTCATAATCCCTCCATGATTGCACAAGCAGGTTGAATGTGTTTGGGGTAGACATGTTGCTACTGTACTTACCAGACTCATTTATTACAAACATTTAATGTTCAAAGAGACAATAATCCAGTCTGCATTAGATTTCCCCTGAAACTGTTTGCAAATGTGTCGTTTATAAAAGTGATTTCCAGCGGGACGGAAAGTCATAAATAACCCAAGCCGAAAAGATACAAGGATTAAAGAAAGTCTTGCAGATACAACGAAGAGAAATGTTAACCGGCAGTTCAGAAGCAAATACACTCTGGATTAAAAACATGAATAAGCAATAATGAAGGTTTTTAGCCCCATCCAGAGCAACCCTGATGACCTCACTATGACATTCAGATGCAGCAGCATGGCCGCACCATTTTAATCAAAAACACAACCTTGATTTAACCAAATTCCCTTTATTGCATCTTTTAATTCCATGTATATGAATACTGTTGCATTCAGGAAAAATACTCCACTATTTTAATAACAGATAGCATATGAAAGATCCTAAACACTCCATTTTTGAAGAAAATATTGCAGATAGTTCCAGAAGAAAGTGCAGCCGGAACTCATAATGGATTTCTAGTTAAATAACGAACTTATAATTAAGATTGAAGCTTCAAATTCACTATATTCCATCTTTGAATTGCATTTATATACATAATATTGCATCTAAGAAAGAAAAAGAGACATTTGTTTGCAAAATAAATTGATATATAAATAAATTGCATATATACAAAAGACCCCAAACGCCCCTTTAATGAACAATAGAAGAATATATTGCAGATAGTTCCAGAAAACGTGGCAGAAACACGACAGGAAGTTGTGGATGAATATTCTAGAAATCCTGCAAGAATAAAACATTATTTTTCATTTAATTTTCAAAATGATTTGTATCTCCTTCTTAAAGAATGAAAACATGAATCAGCTGCACATGTGTGTCTGAATCAGGTATTAAAAAACCCACAGATGTAATGGATAGTTCGCATCATCTGCGCTCATAGGTTTTAAGCCGCGTGCAAAACAACCCTGATGACATCACGATGACATCACGATGACATCATCAGGGAAGTGCCCCGATATGCAGCAGCTACTGACTGCTCAAAGTAAAACAATCCCCATATTTCTTCTATTGCATCTTTGAATTGCATGTATATAGATAATGTTGCATTTTAGATAAAAAGGAGACATTGGTTTGCTAAATAATAAAAAATCAAACAATAAAAACAGAACAGAAAATTGCATATAAAAGTCCCCAAACCCCCCTTTATTGAAAAATAGGAGAACACATTGCAGATAGTTCAGAATAACCCAGATGTGCACCGCTGAAACAGGAAGTTGATCCCTGGCTGAATAATCTAGAAATACTGAAAGACGACAACATTATTTTGTTATTTATTTTTCAAAAATAATCTCCTTTTTACAGAATGAAAACAGCTGTGCAGATGTGAGGCTGAATCAGGTGTTAAAACGCCACAGACTTAATTTATAGTTCCCATCATCGGCGCTCATAAAGCGGTATTATGAGCGGAGGAGGAGCGGGTGGGGCCTGGAGGAACACAGACTGTGGTCACTGACCGGAGTCTCTTCTGCCTTTTATTCTCCTCAAATCACACCGCATGTCTGACCCAGGGGTCCAACCTGCTGCTGGGAGAAATCTGCACTCACATCCCCGAGATCTGTCAGATGGATGCGGAGCTGAGGATGAAAAGATCGCCTGATATGTTTGTTGGCATTTTCGCTCATCGCCTATTTATGGGAGGCAGCGGCGGCGGCTCGGCCCTTTCTTTATTATAAGGAAAGAGATCTCCGCGGTTATAGCTATGTGAAAAGAGCAGATCGCCGAATAATTCTCGTTTCGCGATCCCGAGGAATAATTATGAACAACGCGCAAGATATGTCGCCCGATTTCGTGTTGATGCGCCTGGTTTCCCGCGGCCGAGGATGACCGCTTGGACGCGGAAAACGGGAATCTGCCGCCGGGAGGAGTGTCGGTGGCGGGGCTGGGGAAGGACGTCCTGGCTCACAGCGGCGTCAAACCGGGGTTGGATATCAGCCGAGACCCGACGGTGGGCCTTGAGCATCCCAACAAAGGCCATCCGCCGCACGGAGAGACTGCACCTGACACCGGGGGGACGGAGAGCCGAGCCCCGGCGCCTGCTCCGCCGCAGAGCCCCATGGAGGCCCAGGGCTTTGACTTCGCCCCCAGCCCCGGTTTAAGGCCTCAGCTGCTCGTCTTCTCCAATATAATGCGGAATGGAGAGGGGATTTTAGAATTAGACCGTCGGAATCAGCAAAGGGATGCTCTGGGTTTGGATCAGAGCGCGGGCCCGGCGGTCAATAACAACAGCCGGAGCACCGGGGACGCGCAGCAGCAGGACCTGATGGACCGGACATGGGGAGCGCATCCGCCGGGCGAGATGCACCAGGGAGCTGCGGAGCTTTGCCGCCGGCACCGACTCATCACTACCACGCCCGAGTGGCCCTTGTTGTCGGAGAGATCCAACCCTCTCACCGTGATTGACTCTAAATGGGGGTGCGCCTCCAGGGACAGAGAGGGAGCCGTGTTCGAGCTGGCGCGACGTTTCGGGGAGCTGGGGGTCGGTGCGGTGCCCAAGATGCTGCTCAAAGCCGGGGAGCTCCCGCAGTGTTCGTGTCAGGGAGCTCACAGGCCGGCCGGAGGAGGAGTGGAGCCCAGGGGCGACCCCACTGAAACCAGCGATGCTCTGCTGGTGCTGGAGGGGCTGGGGAGCGGGGATGTCGGCCTTGACATGGACGAGTGCACGGAGGGGGATCCGGACGATGAGGTCGGACGCAGAGAGTTTCTACTGAACAGGAAGAGGGAAATTGTTCAGAAAATGTCGGGGTCTTTCTCCATCAGCAGCTTCCAGGCGGAGTTGAGGCGGCAGGTGGAGGGGAGCGAGGCGGCGGCTGCACACCTGCACGGCTCTCAGGTGTGCAGCCTCCACGGGGGGTTAGCTAGGAGGATCTCGCAGGTAAGCTCCGGGGACTCAGAGGTGGCAGCCCAGGTTTCAGCCACAACACCGTTATCTACACCCACACCGGTCCAGAACTCACCTTGGGGCACAAGTCCGAACCTGAGCCAGGTGTCCACCCCCAGGAGGAGGCCGGAGAGGTGTGCCAGTGCGCCCAGGACTCCCACCTCAGGCTGGGGCTCCGCGGGGGAAAAGATGCTAAAAGTGCCAGGGAAGTCCAAAAAGGGCTCGTTAAAGATCCGCCTGAGTAAACTGTTCCGGACTAAAAGCTGCAGCGGCTCCAATCACCTGCTGGACAAAAGGCCCTCAGTGACCTACTCAGTATCCTCTGCTGGGAGTCTGGTGGACATGGCGAGCAGCCCTGGAGCTGAGCCGGACAGGTGAGCAGACTAACCCTCAACATTAGTCCTTGATGTTTCTGTCAGTGCAGAACGTCAGACCCAGCATGCATGGATGACACACAAGGCATTTCAGGGGAGAAAGCGGGGCCGGAAATCTGCATTTTTGGAGCTAGCAACCAGAAATATACTTCAAAGTGTCCCTTGGCTTGGTTTAGGTTTTTGAATGGGAGAAGACATACTGTAGGTCAGGAAGATAAATGCATGAGAAAGTCCTGCAGAAACCTGACAGATAGGCTGCTGGGAGTCTGGTGGACAAGTGAGCAGACATGACCCTCAAGATTAGTCCTACAGTATAATATAGTGTCTACTGGCAGTGAGAAGAACTTCAGACCCAGCATGCATGGAGGACACACGAGGCATCAGGGGAGAGCAAGTTAGGTTTTTGAATGGGAAAAAGTCCCTAAATGGGAATCAATAAAGTTAAATGAAGATATACTGTATAGGTGATAAATGCATGAGAAACCTCCAGGTGAGCAGACATGACCCTCAAGATTAGTCTTACAATGTAATATAGTTATTTATCAGTGAGAAGAAGACCCGTCATGACACAAGTCATTCCAGGGGAGAAATCAGGGCCGAAAAGAACATTTTTGCAGATAAACCAGAAATATGAGAAATATCTCAGCTCCAAAGTGTCCCTTAGCAACTCTGTTTGGGAACAAATCCCTAAATGGGAAACAATAAAGTGTTTTCAAATACATATTGTGCAGGAGGAAGTTATATGCATGAGGAAATCCTGCTAAAACAGACAGATCTGCAGGAAAAGCATGCGATATTTAAGAAAAGGCAAAACATTACAGGACTTATTCACAGCGACATGTTGATCTCTTTCCAAACACGTTCTAATGGCTTGCATTAACTACCTTTAACTGTCTGTCTTCTCTCAGAGACTTGTTTCGGTAAAGTGCTGCATGTTATTAGAGGCAGAGATTTCCCCCAACCTTTGTGGCTTGTCACCCTCCTCTTCACTGCTTAGTCGTTATTCACAGCTGCACACTGAAAGAAGGCTATGATTAAAAACATATAGCTTCAGAAGTCCCGACCAGAGCTGAGAGCATCAAACAGAACAAGTCAAAAAAGCTGCAGGACCCAGAATTGCACGCATACTGGAAAAACTCATTTTCTGATCCTTTGCTGCGACTGACACTTCTTCTTCTTCTTCTTCTTCTTCTTTTCTGCACTAACTCTTCTTCTTCTGCATGTTTTGACGTGTGTCCTGCAGCCACAGCCAGCCCAGACTGACCCGGGCGCACAGTGCCTTCTCCCCCGCCTCCCTCTCTGCCTCCCTCTCTGCTTTCACCGGTAAGGGCTGCTTCGGTTGTTACTCTACCCTCAAACACGCTTTTCAAAGTCTCCAGACACAGGGCACTCCAAACCCCGAGTGATGCTTACTGTAAAAGAACAAGAAACAGAATCGCCTTCGATGTAAACTTCACTATTCTAAGTTACTATGATATTTTCTTATTTTAAATTCATTTCACTTCTCATTTTTAATCAACTTAATAGACTTAAGTAAGCACCACTTAGTATCCACTTAACTATCTATTTGTGCATTAGTGCATGCTTCTGTCGTCAAGGTATTTAAGCTCTGAAAACATCGACTTAAATATCTTAATTGTTCTAGTTACGGTAACTTGTTTGGGTTGACAGTGTTAATAGGCCAAGTAACACATACAAGGATGTTGATATGTTTGCATTGCTCTTAATGTACTAACACAGAAATAGACATGTGTTGCTATGTTGGTTAACGCATACGAGAACTTTGGCGTTGGTGTAATGCAGGGGTGTCAAACTCAAGGCCCAGGGGCCAAATCCGGCCCTCTACTTCACTTTATGTGGCCCCGCAAGAGATTGCAAATAATATAATACGTTTAATATACGGTTACATGCTACATTACAGAATCACGTTGCCCATAAACTACATGTCCCACAATGCATTTCCTCTTGTGACATGCACTGAAGAGACTTGCATTTATTTGCCCTGGACTTCTGCTTTCAGACGTAGTTAATGATGAAGTTATTACCCTATCCCATAATGATCCAATGCAGAGGCAATAATGTAATACATTATTTTATATATATTATATATTTATATAGTTACAAGTAACCGGCCCTTTGAGTGCAACCATAACGCTAATGTGGCCCACGATGAAATTGAGTTTGACACCCATGGTGTAATGGATGCACGACACAGAGCTCCACACCAAAGTCTCTGCAACACAAAGACAACATGTCGTTATATTTTACGTTGTATCGGTAATTACAGCTGACGGTTTTAAAGCTGAGATCAATATGTTTGGACTTTAGTACAGCGATGGTAATTCAGCTCTTGTGATGTGTCTTTATTGTTGCTTGTCTGCAAAATGTCACACACTGAATACACACACTAGGTCACACAAAAGGTCAAATGTCACACACTGAATACACACACTAGGTCACACAAAAGGTCAAATGTCACACACTGAATACACACACTAGGTCACACAAAAGGTCAAATGACGCACACTGAATACACACACTAGGTCACACAAAAGGTCAAATGTCACACACTGAATACACACACTAGGCCACACAAAAGGTCAAATGACGCACACTGAATACACACACTAGGTCACACAAGAGGTCAAATGACGCACACTGAATACACACACTAGGTCACACAAGAGGTCAAATGACGCACACTGAATACACACACTAGGTCACACAAAAGGTCAAATGACGCACACTGAATACACACACTAGGTCACACAAGAGGTCACACAAGAGGTCAAATGACGCACACTGAATACACACACTAGGTCACACAAGAGGTCAAATGACGCACACTGAATACACACACTAGGTCACACAAGAGGTCAAATGACACACACTGAAACACCTGAGTCTTACCTGGAGAACATTGAGTTTTAGAAATGTTTAGCGTAGCATAAAAAGAGACTGGAAGAAATAGAACCTGCTAGCTTAGCGCTATCAAAGGTGTCTTTATATGCTTTGAATTTGCGCACTTAACTGTTTAAGAAATATAAAAATGAGACCTTATGATAAACAATTTATCGAATGAACTGACCAACAACAGCGAGGCACAGTTTACTAATTAATCGAGACCTTTTTGAAACTGTTTTAGTCTTTTATTTCACATTTTGCAGCTAGAAACCAGAAATATGTGCATTATCTCTTTCAAAGTGTCCCTGAGCAACTCTGTTAGGGAACAAGTCTCTAAATGGGAAACAATGAAGTAAAATTAAGTGTTTTCCAAGATATATGGTCGGCCAGGAACTTTGCCAGACTCACTGGAAGAAATGCTGCTTCAAAAACAAGTTGTTTGCACTTGGAATAAGTTCAAAAATCTGCCAATAGAACAAGTGAAAATTTGCTTGGTCAGATTTCTTGAAATAAGACGGGATACTTAGATAAATCAGAACTCATTTTGAACCATATTTGACCAGAATCAGGAGATGTTGTGTAACATTATAAGCCGCATATGCTCAAAGTGTTCTGTGTTCTGATGTTAGTTGGTGAAGTTGTTTCATCTGAGATACGACTCAAAATAAGATGTTTTGACTCAACAAGATGATGCATTGTTTGTTTGTAGCCTTTATGTAACCAGGCGAAGCCCCTTGAGATCTCTTTTTCAAGGGTGACCTACATTAGTTACACATGTAACATCAAAACAACAGAACAACAATAAGGATGACCGGGGGCGGTGGTGGCGAAGTCCATAGGGACTTGGCTTGGCAACTGGAAGGTCACCAGTTCAAGACCAAGTGCTACCGAGGTGTCCCTGAGCAAGGCACCGTTCCCCACACTGCTCCCCGGGCGCCGTTCAAAATGGCAGCACACTGCTCCTAACACTAGGATGGATCAAATGCAGAGAAACAATTTCCCCACGAGGATTAATAAAGTATATCAAATCAAATATCATCACATACAACATAATGTACAGTTTACAAACTCTATTTACAGAGACAGGTACCATGAGTATCAAACAGCATGTCACCCAGCCGAGTTTTAAAATGATGCAGGGGAACCAAAGTGCTCGGTTTTAAACATGTTTGCAGACTGTTCCATGTTAGTGGAGCTGCACAACTAAAAGCTGTCTTCCCTAAGACAGTCCTAGCACTTGACACATTTAATAAAACAACATCATGAGATCTCAGGCAATAAGTACTTTCAATTCGTCCAGAGATCAGAGAGCAGATATAGAAAAGGTAGTTTACCCAACATGGCTTTATAAATGAACATGTACCAGTGACTGAGCCTCCGTACAGTTAGTGAAGGCAGACCTGCCTTGGCATACAGGGTACCGTGATGAGTAAGTGCTTTACAGTTAGTAACAAATCTCAGAGCACTGTGATAGGCGGCATCTAACCAGGTAATAGGCAGGTGCATTCATATAGATCAGATCACCATAGTCCAGCACAGGAAGGTCACAGTGACTAGCCTGTTCCTGGCTTCAAATGAGAAACAGGACTTGTTGTCTAAAAACAAGACCCGATATCTCACTGCAGTGTTACTCCTGAAGTTATTATGTCTTGTATCCGGTGTGAAGACATATTCTGACTAGATATCAGACACATATACTTGGCAAGATTTCGAGTTTTTGTAGTGCTTTGGCGAGTGCATCCTCCTCTATAAGAAACTCAGGTATTGTTGCTGGTCATTTACTGGCAGTCATCTATTGCTATTACAACATTTGAATATTTTCTCCACTGTACGACCCAAATTTTTTTTTTTACGAGTAATGTTTGTCCTCTTCAAAACAGACGGTGACAAACACCGATATCGGCTCACTGTCTTCCCGGTTTGTTCTAAGCATTTTTTAAGTAACCTTCCCAACTCTGATGGTGATAATATCTTAAAGGGGACCTATCATGCAAAATGCACTTTGTGATGTCTTTTATACATAAACATGTGTCCCGGTGCGTCGGGGAACTCACGCAGCGTCAGAAAAACAACCCTCTCTCTTTTCCTCCGTACCCAAATTTCTAAAAACGGGTTTACAACGAGCGGATACAGATTTCCATCCGCTGTGACGTCGGCAGACCCACAGAAAGTTGCTATCAGAAACAATGCCTGACGTGTTTTGGACGTCTTTGTTTACATTAGCAAGCCTCGCTAACACTCAGAGCTAACCTGTACTGGAGAGCACATGTGTTTAAAAAGCAGGAAATAAAAAAGGAACTCACCTTGTGATAAACCCGCAAGAGAACAAGCATTTGAGCTCCATACTGGTTCAGAAATAATCCTTGATGTGGTTTAAAACAGGATGGCGTTTTATCACAGCAGAATTTAACTTTATCTCCGGTAGAATTCTGATCAGGCATTAGCTCCGCCTCCTCTTTTCTATTTATCTTCAAGCTAAGGACCCAAAATCCGCGTTTCTCTAACAGGGCTTCAAAAGAGGGGTTTGAGCAGTAAGAGGCTACAATGAGGGATCTGTTTGGTATTTTGAAAAAAAACTTCACAGACATGTTTTATATGGCCCTACAATATATGTTTCAAATATAGCATGATAGGTCCACTTTAATATTTGGGTGTTGGACACATTTCTAAAGCTTTCTGACGCTGTGTGGCGCACAAAGGCCTCTGGGTAAGAAAGGTGAGGAGGTCTGTAGCTCAGCTGGCTTTATGAGAATCGTCCTTCATAACATCCGCAGGGCTCCGGAGAACATGGTGTCCCACATTGCTCACAAATCTCTGTACTTCACTATTTCGGAATATGCTCTGCACGGCGCTAACCAGCAATTAGCCAGAAACATTAAAGCTGCAACGTTTCACAACATAGGAGAGAGTTTTATTTAAATCTTTGGGCTTCAAAAACCCAGAAGTCCTGAACAGAAATAGGCTCGAAAGAAGCAGAAGAAGAGATCTGAAAGCTGCGGTTCGTTTGGCTCGTTTGAATTTGTTTCTTTCCCTGCCAGTGAAACATCCCCAAGCTGCACATTTCTTTTGTTCTGGTGAACAGTGAATGTGCAGCATCTCAATTAGCCATGATTCTTCTTTATTGCAGTGATTTAGGCCTGATTAGCTGGGCGTCATTTTCCATAAACATCCTGTCTGGCGCAGCTTTAATGGCACTCTGCAGCACAGACAGAACAACACAAAATCACAGAAACACCAACCGCGCTTTCACTTTCTTCTGTCTCACTTATTTATTTATGTTGAGTGCTCAAATAAAGAGTCTTGATGAGATGACGTAAGCATCTCTCAGCAAGTACAATTAAATAACAGGAGTAAGTTGAAGAGACCAAAACGTCCAAAAACACACGCATGACATGCAGTCCCACTTAGATTTCATTATTCATTACATTTAGCTGACGCTTTTATCCAAAGCGACTCACAATAAGTGCGTTCGACCAACAAGATACAACCTAGAAGAAAACAGAATCATAATATCAGGTTTCATAGAGCCAAAACATTTCAAGTTCTACTCAACTGGCTTTAGATAATTATATTGATCATTTCCTGTTGTGTTGTGCCACCTTTTGATCGTTCGTGGCGGTATTTTTCCCCCAAATAATTGTCTTTGCAATGTATTTTTTAATAATCTTAAATACAGCTGCCTCATTAATTGAAGGAGAACACGTTTTGATTAAGTGTTTAACCCGATAGGATAATTGCATTTCTTATATGTGGACTCTTTTCCCCTCTCCCCTTTATTTCGAACAGATTAAAAAATATCAAATAACAAATGTGAAAAACAGAATACCGTATTGTTATAATACAGTATTTATCCACATTCATGGTAATATTTGTATATTCAACAAAAAAAAGCAAAAAAAAAGTCTTCATATTAATAATAATAATAAATCATATGTGTCCGAAAGGGAGCAGGAGGAAGCAAATGCTTATTAATTCCCACCCCTTACTTGATCAATGATTGTCCTTTAAATCAGTATGCAAGTTATTCCTACTTAGATTTACATTTATACATACATAAAATGTAAATGTATGTAGGAATAACTTGCATAATGATTTAAATCATCCAGAAGCCCGAATAACATGTTGAAAGGTGTTGGTTTAAAATTAGTGCCAATCTTGAATGTTGGTCGTCAGACAGGAGAAACAACATGTGCATGTGATCACGTTGATTATCTTGAATTCTTCAATAGGATTTAATTGACGTCAAATGTTTCCATTGGTATCAAAGTATTAGATTAATCTTCCCAGAAGGAGCGGACAGTATGAGGGACAACTGCAAGGCCGCTGCTCTGTAAACAAACATTATAACGTATTTTGTTTATCCTTTATTTTAGATTTAGATTCTGACACCTTGTATCAGGCGCACAAACCTTCCTCTTATCCCAATCAGAATAAGAATCAAGTTTATTGCCAGGTACGTTTACACACAAGGAATTAGCTTTGGTGTGTGGTGGTGCGAATCAGAATCAGAAAACATTTATTCGTCACACATTCGGCGACATTTACAATTGTTAAAGCAAAGAGTCAAAGATAGCTTAAAGGTGGGGTCGGTAAGAATGGAGAAACCAGCTCGAGTGCGCTAGAATTTGAAAACACACAACCGGAAACAATCTGTCCCTTCCTTCAGACTTCCTCACAGAGCCCCTCCTCCAACACACACGAACGCGCACATGACCAATGAGGGCACGAGATAAGTTTGTGCCCAGATGGAAGGCTGACAGGCAGGTAGGCCATCCAGTTACTTTAGCCGGCTCAGATGATTGGTCGTGCTTTTTACAGCGCCACGGCTTCCACAGATGAATTTATTGTCAAAGCATTTAATATATTCATTGCTATCGGGATGGAATATAACAAAGTGTTTCTGAAGTCAATTACCTACCCCACCTTTAAGAAGCAAGATACAAAACTAGAAATTCCACAATATACAAAATACACATCCAGGACGGATAAGCGTTTAGCGATATCGCAGCCAGGCGAAAGGATTAAAGTGGTAGAATAAATTGCACGGCTATTTACGGTAAATATATATTGCACATAAGTGTTTTTCTTTCTTTGTACAGTTTCTGATTTTATGTAAAGGGCTGTTATGTTGAGCACTATCAGAAGCGCTATAAAAATCCAATGTATTATTATTATTATTATAATGATATGCAGGGCCCTCCGGCTCAGTTGAAGACCCCTCCTCAAGATGAGGCCCCACGCAGTCTGCATGAGCGGCCTGTAGGAGGGACGGCCCTGATGTGTGTCTGGGGTGTGAAGTCTGAAACAGAAACAAAGACTTACAGTACAAAGAATAAATGACAACATATCTAATCCAATCCAACTTTATTTGTATAGCACATTTAAAAACAACAGAGTTGACCAAAGTGCTGTACATCAATACAAAAAAGAAGCATAAATACATTTAGACAAAACCGATAGGACAAATGTAAAAGCACGAGACAATAAAACCATACTTGTAATGGACTGGACTTATATAGCGCTTTATCCAGTCTTTACGACCCCTCAAAGTGCTTTACATACATGTCGTTCACCCATTCACACCCATGCATACAGAGCAGTGTACCTTACTCTAGGAACTAGCATTCACACACATTCAGAGCAGTGTATACCTTACTCTAGGAACTAACATTCACACACATTCACACAGAGCAGTGTACCTTACTCTAGGAACTAGCATTCACACACATTCAGAGCAGTGTATACCTTACTCTAGGAACTAACATTCACACACATTCAGAGCAGTGTATACCTTACTCTAGGAACTAACATTCACACACATTCACACAGAGCAGTGTACCTACTCTAGGAACTAACATTCACACACATTCACACAGAGCAGTGTACCTTACTCTAGGAACTAACATTCACACACATTCACACAGAGCAGTGTACCTTACTCTAGGAACTAACATTCACACACATTCACACAGAGCAGTGTACCTAACTCTAGGAACTAACATTCACACAACCGTTGGCCATTGGGAGCAACTCAGGGTTCAGTATCTTGCCCAAGGATACATCGACATGTTGACTGCATGGGCTGGGATCGAACCCACAGCCTTCTCGCTGAAAGACGGCCACACTCCCCCGCAGCCGCAGCCGCCCCGAGTCGCTACAGACTGACCATATGAGGAACTGCAGTGTGTTTTATTATAAGTGGAGGGATGTTTCTTTATCTCACTCTTTCCGATCGTTCTACTTTGATTTGATTTCTCGTATACAGTATAGGAGGAGGGATGTGCAGACATGTTTTATTCATATTCTGCTTTCTTTATCTCACTTTCTCCTCTTCTCTCTCCCGGCTGCAGGTGAGACAGTTTCCCTGGTGGATGTTGATATTTCGCGGCGAGGGGCGAACACGCCTCACCCCCCCACGCCTCCCCCCCCCTCCACGCAGAAGCCTCAGCCTGTTAGGTACTTTGATCCACTTCCTGTCCGTCTCTTCCGTTTCTTATTTATTCCACAAATATATAACATACATGGAGATGTACATAAAACACACACACACACACACACACACACACTCACACACACACACACACACACACACACTCACTCACTCACTCACTCACTCACACACTCACTCACACTCACTCACACTCACTCACACTCACACACACACACACACACACACACACACACACACACACACACACACACACACAACACACATTACCCCTTTCCTTCTAAGGCAAATTATACATACAGACATTCATTTAAATTCTCCGACCTTTCCCTGGGTAGTCGGTACAGACCACACACACACACACACACACACACACACACACACACACACACACACACACACACACACACACACACACACACACACACACACTAGATAAAGGAAGATATGGTCGTAGACTCAGTCTTCAAGATTTTAAGTTACCATGACATTTTCTTACTTTTAAATTAAATTCCACTTATCATTTTTAATAAACTTAATACACTATTTTGCAGATCAAGTAAGCACCACTTACTATACATTTAACTGTATATGTCTATATTATTCATTAGTGCGTGTGTACATCCGCAATCAAGATATTTAAGCTCTGAAAACATCGACTTAAATATCAATCGGTTGACTTATTTTCTCTAGTTAGTGTGCAGTTGCTAAGTCTGCGCTGCTCTTAATACGGTTAACCAGACAAGAATATTGGCGTTTCGTGGATGCACGACAGTAACATAAGAGGATGTGAAATGTAACCCACTTCCTGTCCGTTGATCGAACAGATGATAAGATTGTTGAAAGACAGCGACGCTTTACCTTCGCCTGGCTGATAGATAAAGGAAGCTGTGGTCGTCGTTACTCATATTGTTTACTGTCGTCTGTTTCCGGAACAAAGACACAGACAAGTTTTGGCAATCTTCTGTAATCTGATTAGAGACACGCTTTGAAAGGTCAGCTGCAAACTACAGATTTAATTTGAAATATGAGAGCAATGACTGCATCGATGAGGAGGACAGCTTCATCCTGTCACAGGGAAACTATCTGTGGCAGGGAAATACACTTTGTGTGGTTCATTCTTTTCTATTGGTTTACGGTCACGCAGTAACGATACATCAAATATTATTATTATATATATTGTTTTAAATGTAGATTTTAGGATTATCATTTATTTGGGGTAATGCAGTGTTACAGTATGTATGTATGTATTTCTTTCTTTATTTTTTTATTTCTTTATTCTTTTATTTATTTGTTTTATCAAGTTAGTTCAGATCCATTTTTTAAATCTTTAGAAGCAAAATTCCTACAAAATGTTATTTAGCCCTGACCAGCGGACAATAGCAAGTAGAGGCCACAGAAACATTGAATTGCTGAGTTGTTTTTTAAATGTATAATTAATTAATTGTTGTTTATTTTGGTCAGAAAATGCAAAAAAAACCGGTACGTCCACACGGTCGCGTTGAAGCTTGCCGGTGGGCGTGTCTGGTGCGCAACCAACAACCAATCACATGAATCTCCCGCCCCGGACACACAAGCACGTGGTTTGATTGGCTAGCGCTTGTACTGGCATATGATTTGATTGGCTGACGCGTCCGTCGACGCTTGAAAAGTTGAACGTTTCTCAACTTTCGAAGCGAGCAACGGAGGCAAAGCGACGCGACGGAACCACAATGCAGTTCGGCAAAGCGTGACGTCACCCCATGCAAAGTGAATGGGAAGCGTCTCCGTTGAAGCGCTGCCGTGTGGACGTACCGTGACTCGGCAAACAGTGATTTTATATAACCTTTAATCAAGTGTAACCTACAATATTTAAAAGTTATATTCCTGAATATCAGTGTTTTTATAGTCCAACACATTTCTAATTTCATGGCCTTTCTTTGACCTTTCACATGCATATTTCTGCTCGTAGCCTGGTGTTACTTTCTGACCCACATTCTGCTCCACACTTCCCCTTCCCTTTGGAAAGTCCTGTACGTTGGTTTTAAGATCACATGAACAGACCAAACAGATGGTGTGAGTCTCACTACTGACTGTAACATTACATTCATCACACGTCCCACTGTAGTTGTAATCAAACACACAGCAGGAAGTAGGGCATTTGTTGGGGACTATTTTCAGCGGCGGATGAATACACAGTTAGTCCTTTAGTGAGCTTTTGGAGCTCTATGTCAAACAGGAAGTTGATGTAACTGCTGGGACACAATGCTTATGATTTGATGCATTTGTTTATGTGAGATTTGTTGACAATTAAAGGTTCATTGCACAATAAGGAATCCTAATGGTGGATATTATTAGATTATATAGAGGGCCGAGACTTCCTGTCTGATGGTGTTGAAACTTCCTGTCCTTCCTTTGTTTATCTTCCTTCACTTTCTCTGCCTCCTTCTCCCCTTCCTGACACTTTTATTATGGTTTCTCACTTTCTTCCCTCACCCTCTACAACCTTGTTTACATCCGTCTCCCATCTTACCCTTCCTTCGTTCCCTCCTTCCTCCTTCATGTTCTTTCCTTTCCTTCCTCCTTCATTCCTTCCTTCCTTCTTTTTCCATTCTCTTCCTCTAATGACGATGCTTCGTTGGTTGGTTCGTTGGTTGGTTGGTTCTTTCCTTCCTTCCTCCCTTTTTATATTCCTTCTTCCATCCCTCTCCTCTCCTTCTGTTTTTTCCTTCCTGCCTCCTTGTTCTCCCCTTTTATTTCATTCCTGTCCTATTCCTACCTTCTTCCTCTCCTCTCCTTTCCTCTCCTTTCCTTCCTGTCCTCTCCTTTCCTTCCTCTCCTCTCCTCCCCTCTTCTCCCCTTCCTCTCCTCTCCTCTCCTCTCCTCTCCTCTCCTCTCCTCTCCTCTCCTCTCCTCTCCTCTCCTCTCCTCTCCTCTCCTCTCCTCTCCTCTCCTCTCCTCTCCTCTCCTCTCCTCTCCTTCCTGTCCTCCCTCCAGATGACATAGCGGGGCCTCAGCCTGGTCCCTTCCTAGTGAGTGTAATGGGCGCCTCCCTGCAGTCCCTCCCTCTTCCTCTCCCTCCTCCTCCTCTTCCCTCACACGCCACCATCCAGCACAGTCTCAGCCTCAATGGTAAGACCAGTCAGAAAAAACCGTCATCACTTCCTGTCGCCGGGCAGGAAGGAGAAAAAATCACATTTATCCAACACACGTTTCAAAAATTGTATTTGTCTTCTTGTTGTCAGTTTCCTTTCACACAAATGAATATACAATTCCACTTAACTTTAAAAATGGTCGACGTTCTAAATGTCTGATATGCTTCCCCTGATACAGACGCCTTCCTCCGGGCCCTCCCCCACGCGGCCCCCTCCCCGATGGACGCCCCCCCCCTCCAGACAGGCTCCGCCCCCCATGCTGTGCGCCCTGAGGCGATCTGAGGCCAGCAACTTCACCGCCAGCCTGCGAGAGCTGGAGAAGGTGAGAGGACATTGTTATTGACTTATTACGACTTTTAAGAATGTTCTATGATAACGTCTGCCACTACGTTCTTTTGCACTACTAAATACTGTTAATATTGACTTAATTATGTGACCGTCTATGTTTCCTATTTAATTGCTCTTTTTACTGCACTGTTAGTTTTATTATTATGCTGCTGTGTTTATTGTATTTTTGTATCTTATCTCCTACATTCACTCATTTTCATTCATGTCTGTTATTCAGCATGTTTTGTGCAAAGTGTGGTGCAAATAATGATTATTTTCATGGGTGAATTTGCTGATTACATTCTCAGTTAACCGATACATTTTTGGTCGTAAAACATCAGAAAATAGTTGTTTTTTAAATTCAAACTTAGTTTCTGCTTCAAAACGTTTTTTCGTCCGACCAACAAATCAAAGGTATTCAGTCAAAGTGAGCTGGAACCAGATTAGTATTTGTGTGCGTTGAAATGGACAATGGTTTGATTATCCACAACTGTGAGATTTGT